CCAACACTTTTAATAGTAATTTTTTAACTCATAAATTTAGACAAATGCGCACGATAATTGATCTAACACTTAAATCCGTAGAAATGCCAACGACAAACATATGCGTTACAGAATTGAGCTTTATATATTAGATTAATTGTAACTACGCTATGCATGATTTTTAAATTAATTAATGGGCCTCTCAAATACCTTTGAGACATTTCTCGCTGGCGTCCATTCTAAAATTACATCAAAACTGTTGTTTTTTTTTCTGCTGCCGATTTAAATTTTCTAAGCAAGAGAAGCTCATCCCTGTGATAAAATAAACTGACCTTCTTGCCGTATATACTGTATCCCCAATTAAATAAACTTCTAACCTGTTACAATGAATTTGCAAATTTTCTATTTTTAAGGTCCAAATAAAAACCAAAATAAGTTAATGAAGTACATACAACCAAAAGTCAACAACATTTCCTTTCAAATTTTAAGTGCCAAATGGTGCACATTCGCTTAAAAATACTCATCCTATAATATGCACATCTCTTAATTTTGTTTTAAATAGAAGAAAATAATTGCGCACCAAGTTAATGGCAACAAGTTAATGTGTTACCGTAACAGCTATGTTGATGAAATTTCATATATAAGTATTATATCAAATTTTTATTTCCGTATCAACTTTTAAGTGATTTCCGATAAATGGAAGTGGAACTTATTCTATTTTCAATTGTTCAAAAGCCTATAACTTGAGTATGTTTTAGATAGATAAACGAAATTTCACTTATAAGTAAAATATCAAATTCTGTCAAATTTTGAGTAATTTTTTAGATTCTAAGAAGTCAATTTAAGTTTCCTTTTAATGTACTAATTTTTCGCTTAAATATACACAAAATGTTAACGCTCATTTATTGGGTAAGTCAATTTTCTATTCAGTTGCGGGACTAGAAAAAAAAGCAATGCACGCACATTTTTTAAAGAACTAATTAATAAATATTAAATTAAATTATTTCTTGATTTAGTAATCCTCATCTATTTCATTTGCTAAGTTTCTCTATTATAATTTAACAGGACTCAAATCAATAGGCTTCTAATAACTCAGTTGTAAAACAAAATATTGTAATTAGTATTTCTGATTTAATATTTTAGTTCGTTGAAACTTATTTCAAGGCTGCCGAAATTAAGAAATGTAAAATTGTAAATTTGGGAAAGATTGGTATGGTATTGGTTTTATCACAACCTTTTTTTTGTATTCACATTATTAGTTTTTAAGTGATATTTTTCTCTTACATAATCGATGTTTTGTACGAGTGCATAAAATATCAATTTAAAGAATAATGTTTGCTTGGTAAAAAAATTAATGATAAAATAATAACTATTGTAAAGATGGAACACCTGTTCGGCTATGAAATGAGTTTTATGGGCCCAACTATTAGATGAATTATGTTAGTTATTATAGAATAATCACCACTTTAATTGGTTCTTTTTTACAGCAACACAGTCAATGTTTACGAAAACATGTTTGGAATTTAAAAAGTTGATTGTTTATGGTGGGAGAAAGGACAACTAAACGGTCTACTCCCCTCCTCCCCCACACTGCGAGGTGTGGCGGTATATAGTTCTCTCCTGTTTCTACTGTTCTATTTTTATAAAGATGTAAATACTAAAAAATTGTTTAAAACATTTCTATTGCCAGATTGCACTAAACGTGCCATCTACTCTACTGTCCACTGTTATATAAGAACTAATCTTCGGTCCACGTTATACATGAATTATAGGCTTACATTTTAAAATGTTATAGGCCTACTTGTTTGAGAAATATATTTTATAAAATAGTTATTGGTCACACACACACACAAATATATATATATATATATATATATATATATATATATATATATATATATATATATATATATATATATATATATATATATATATATATATATATATATATATATATATATATATATATATATGGGGGGGCGCCAAATTATAAGTTCAACCGGGGCGGGGGGGGGGGGGGGGGCAGAGGGGTCGCTACGCCTCTGCACACTAGATGAAAAAGAAGGTTAAAAGAGCGGTGAGATTTGTGTGGAGTGTGTACGTCCACAATGGCTGGAGTTCAAATATTCCATCAACAGCACGACTTAACCATTCTCTTAAGGGCATGTTAAACCCCCAAATTGAAATTTAGGTGTTAGGACTATTTTGAGTCATAAGGAAGTTGTAACTAGCATAGTATATGGAAAAATGCAAAAAAAAATCACTAAAAAGTTATGGTTTTGTGAAAATACTTTCTAAAAAGTGTCATTTTTAGGGTAAAAATAGCTCAAAATTAACTCTCATTGAAATCACAATAACACAGCTTCTGTTTGTCAGAATAACACAAATCTTTAACATAGTGTAATATACGCAATTACAAAAAAAGTTGAACTAAAATAATTAGAAAATAATAAAAAATGGATTTTAGCCAAATTTTTTAAATGTGAGACCTAAAAAATTTCCAAAAAGTAGGGAGTAGACTTAGCTTTTATTTTATAAAATGAGAAGTTTTAAAGATATAGAAATTCTTTTAGTTCACCTTTACAAGCAGTGGTTAGTAAACATGTGTGCAAAATTTCGCTAAATATCTCAAGTAGTTTTTGTGTTATAGTGATTTAACTGGTACAATTTTGTTGAAAAGTAACATTTTAAGAAAAACGCTAAATAGTGAAAAATATACAAAATTTGAAAAAAAAAACGAGAAAAAGCGAAAACTATACCGAATTAGTCATTTTTAAAACCTCCCAGTTACATAAATTGCATCTGAAGCCTCTTACTCAGCAATAAGAACATCTATTTTAGTTATTTTTTAAGTTTTATGTTGCTAAATGTTGCTTAATATAGGTGAATTACGTCATTAGTCTCATTAATTAAAAAATTATAAAAAATACTAGCAATACGAAATTTTGCAAAATGATTATACAAAAATGTTCAGAATCGAATGTAGTTTCAGAAACAGTAGATTTTTAAAAATCAACATTTCTGACTTAAATATGTATTTGGGGGGGGGGGGGGGGGGGGGGGGTTAACCTGCCCTTAAGTTAATAGGACAGCTTTCAATAAGTTTAAAATAATATTTTTTAATTTAAAAGAATTTATACATTTCCATATCAGCTCTCGTTAGTATTGTCATAAATGGGTTGAGGTTTAAAGAAAGTGACTTTAAAACAAAATTCGTCCCTCACCTGACAGGCCATTTGTCTCTCACCTGACCATGTCATTTGTCTCTCACCTGACTTATTATTCGTCCCAGAGCTGACCAAGTCATTTGTCTTTTACCTGACCATGTCATTTTCCCCTCACCTGACCATGTCATTTGTCCCTCACCTGACCATGTCATTTGTCCCTCATCTGATCATGTCATTTGTCCCTCATCTGACCATGTCATTTGTCCCTCACCTGACCATGTCATTTGTCACTCACCTGACCATGTCATTTGTCCCTCACCTGATCATGTCATTTGTCCCTCACCTGACCATGTCATTTGTCCCTCACCTGACATGTCATTTGTCCCTCACCTGACATGTCATTTGTCCCTCATCTGGCCATGTCATTTGTCCCTCACCTGATCATGTCATTTCTCTCTCACCTGACATATCTTTCGTCCCTCGTCTGATAAAGAAAAGCGTGGGTCACTTTAGTATCTACTGGATACCTTTACTAATGTTTAGGAAGATACCCACGCTTTTCTTTATAGTTATTTAAATAGTAGTGTATAATTTATTTTCTACTTTTTAGTGCATTATTACATAAAAGCTTGTTATTAAAACGTTTTTATGCATTTTTTTCAGTACTTTACATGTTTTATTTACAATAGAGTTACATGACTAAAAACCATTGCGCGCCTACTGAACGTGATGGCGCAGCCATTGAACGTGATGGCGCAGCTATTGAACGTGATGACGCGTGTGGTGTGGTTGGATAGACATGCCTACTAATTCGGTCCAAATTTTAATTAATTCATAAAAAATTAATTAGGCATCAAATTAAGTCACATTTTATTCAGATTGCATTGTCTTCATGTCTTGACCCACGTGTCAAATGTGAATCGTATCGGTCAAGTAGAAGTGACCGAATTTTCACTCCAGTGTTTCGATCTAGACTGACGACTGACGACAGACTGACGAGGAAGTGAGTTAAAAAAAGCTTGTAAAAAAATTCATAAAAAACGTTTTAATAACAAGCTTTATGTAATGATGCACTAAAAAGTAGAAAATAAATTATACACTACTATTTAAATTACTATAAAGAAAAGCGTGGGTCACTTTAGTACTTTAGTACCTATCGGATACCTTTACTAATATTTGAGAAGAGACCCACGCTTTTCTTTATAGTAATTTAAATAGTAGTGTATAATTTATTTTCTACTTTTTAGTGCATCATTACATAAAAGCTTGTTATTAAAACGTTTTTTATGAATTTTTTTTTCAGTACTTTACATGTTTTATTTACAATAGAGTTACATGACTGAAAACCATTGCGCGTCTATTGAACGTGATGGCGCGCATACTGAAGGTGATGGCGCAGCTATTGAACGTGATGACGCGTGTGGTGTGGTTGGATAGACATGCCTATTGATTTGGTCCAAATTTTAATTAATTCATAAAAAATTAATTAGACATCCAATTAAGTCAAATTTAATTTCAGATTGCATTGTCTTCATGTCTTGACCCACGTGTCAAATGTGAATCGTATCGGTCAAGTAGAACTGTCCGAATTTTCACTCCTGCGTTTCGATCTAGACAGACTGTCGACTGACGACTGACGACTTACGACTGACGACAGAGGAAGTGAGTTAAATAAAAGCTTGTAAAAAACGAGATATTCAACTGTTATCAATAAAATATTGGAAACTTATTTAGAATGAAATAGAATAAAAACCTTTAATAATTAGTCTCAAGGTAATATAAACTTATTTTCGCTTTTAATTTTTTTTTTGGTAGAATAAATGGATAGAAATGTAACATCATCATCAATCATCATCATGCAGGTAAAGACGAGTGATCTCATCATTAAGCAGGCTGTATTAGAGCGATCATTCACGAAAGTCTTTAAAATGTGGCTACGAATTTTTATTAATAGTGTCAGCTATCCACTGAGCGTTACTGGGTACAGAAACATAAAATTTCATAGCCTTTTCATCCATTTTTATTGAATGGGCGACAGTACCAACCAGGTAGTAACGTCCATTCTTTAAGCAGCTCACGGGTCCGCCAGAGTCTCCAATGTAAGATGCCGCGTATTTTCCATTGGCTGACTCCACGTTATCCACGCAGAAATAACGACCTACATTATAACTTTCGTCTTTAAATGAATGACCAGCTTGGCACATGTCATGGTTTATTATTCTGATGCGCAACTGCTGAAGAATGTCCGGAGTTGCACTGCCACTAAATGACGTGTCACCCCAACCTGTGACAAAACAAGGCGAGGCGTCCCAAACGTTGCCCTCCGGAAAACAAATTGGCTGCACGGAGTCTGAAAACGTTAACGGTGAAGAAAGTTTGTAAAGCGCCATATCATTACCTCTACCAGGAGGTCGAAAACGTGTTTTGGTCTTTGTTCTATTTGCCCTTTGGCGACTGTTGCTTCCATAGTAGACATCATTGACTTGATCTCGACCACAGTGGCTAGCTGTAATTATCCATTCACGATGTATGATAGATCCTCCACAGATTCCTAAACTCGAACGAAACCAAATTTGCCAGGGCCAGGCATTCACTGGAGCATCTTTGCCGTTGACGATCTGCTTCGATTGGTCGTTTTTAGACACGCCACATTCGCCTTGTTTGAATAATGGCGGCGATGGTAAGTTCTTTTTCACAGGTATTTTTGGGTATTTAGTGTCATATTCTTGCTCGTATTTCTCTAACGGCAATTGATTAATTGCGCAATATTCCGCGCGGGTGGACTCAACACAAAGTAATACAAGTATCTGTTAAGGATAAAATAAAACATGTATGCATGGACACATTTGATGACATTAAACATGCAGATAAGTAAAGCCTTGAAGATGAGAGAAAAGATTTCAGATAATTAAATTTTTTCTCGGCGCTAAAATGACTATATTTGTTCGAAGTCACTGAATCGACCAAATAGTTTAATGTAAACTAAACGTTTGTATTAAACTGACTTCTGAACCGCTTTTTTTTTAAAAAAAATTCTATTCACTTATTCTTGTCTATAGGGCATATAAGCAACACAACGGCACTGAACGCTATATAACGTCACTAAAACACCAATTTAATGCTAAATCACGTCACTATAATACCGACAAAGTTTGAAATAACGTTTTTACAATACCAACTACATAGATAACTTCACCACAAAATGACTTGATTATAGATTTTCGCTTCTAGATTAGATCTGTCTTTAGCTCTCCAGCTTTATCTGCTTCCATGATCGAACTCAGGACTTACCGGGTTATCAATCATAAGCTTTACCGACCCGACCACGCCGACACCTTACTTATTAATATTTCAATATAACTTTGAAACTTATCTTATATTTATTCATCAACATTTGATCTAAGACAGGCTAACAGTGAACATTTTTATTTTTTAAAATTTCAAACGGCTGATTCCTTATAACTTATTCATCTTACACGGTAAATCTTTATCCTAAATGAAAATACAATGAAAACAAAATTTACCAAAAATAGTTCTTTCATTTCTTTCAATCATCATAGCCTGGCTTTACTCTGCCGCATTCGATCATCTGATTTACTGCCATATCCTGTCTAACAATTAAAACATGTAAAGAAATGTACAAAACATATTCTTCAATTTTTGCGACTGTTCAGATTGACGGTCGTGTCTAGATAATATACGGAAATACAAAATATCGGTTAAAGAAGGTTAAGTTTGGTACTGCAAGTTTAGGGTTGGAATGTGTTATGTAATGTGTTCAAGTCAGCATACTTGGCAACGCCAGGCCAGGACAGGTCAGGTAAGGTCAGGTCACGTCAGGCCAGGTCAGGTCATGTAAGGTCAGATAAGGTCAGATAAGGTAAGGTAAGGTAAGGTAAGGTAAGGTAAGGTAATGTAAGGTAAGGTAAGGAAAGGTAAGGTAAGGTAAGGTAAGGTAAGGTAAGGTAAGGTAAGGTAAGGTAAGGTAAGGTAAGGTAAGGTAAGGTAAGGTAAGGTAAGGTAAGGTAAGGTAAGGTAAGGTAAGGTAAGGTAAGGTAAGGTAAGGTAAGGTAAGGTAAGGTAAGGTAAGGTAAGGTAAGGTAAGGTAAGGTAAGGTAAGGTAAGGTAAGGTAAGGTAAGGTAAGGTAAGGTAAGGTAAGGTAAGGTAAGGTAAGGTAAGGTATTTCAGATTAAGATGTTTAAATCTAGATCTAGAATCAAATGGACACCAGCGAGTTGACGAAAATCCTTCCATAATGTTGTTGACATGGAATAAAAACGTGCTTTTTTAGATTTAGGATCGTAAAATAATGAAAAATAAAAACTTAAGCCTATAATTAATTTAGAAATTTAATATTTTTAGAATCAATGCTATAAAAGTTGCAGATCCAGAGAACAATGCAAATTTAAACCCCATGACCTAGTTTTTCATTTTTTGGCTTACAATGTGTACAATAAAATTTATGGCAGCCTATCGAATAGCAGGATGTCATTGTTTAATTCGCCATTACACGTGAAAACCAAATTGTTTTTGCTATTTTTTTTAATTTTAATTTAGTTAACGAAAATATTAAAAACATTAAATACACCCAATCTTTAGTAAAGTCCGGAAAAACCCAGAAAGACAGGATTTTATAACCATATTAATTGTAACTACGCCATGCATGATTTTTAAATTAATTAATGGGCCTCTCAAATACCTTTGAGACATTTCTCGCTGGCGTCCATTTTAAAATTACATTAAACTGTTGTTTTTTTTCTGCTGCCGATTTAAATTTTCTAATCAAGAGAAGCTCATCCATGTGATAAAATAAACTGACCTTCTTGCCGTATATATTGTATCCCCAATTAAATAAACTTCTAACCTGTTACAATGAATTTTCAAATTTTCTATTTTTAAGGTCCAAATAAAAACCAAAATAAGTTAATGAAGTACATACAACCAAAAGTCAACAACATTTCCTTTCAAATTTTAAGTGCCAAATGGTGCACATTCGCTTAAAAATACTCATCCTATAATATGCACATCTCTTAATTTTGTTTTAAATAGAAGAAAAGAATTGCGCACCAAGTTAATGGCAACAAGTTAATGTATTACCGTAACAGCTAGGTTGATGAAATTTCATATTTAATTATTACTAGACTACCAGTCATCCGTTGGATAACTGTGGGTTTCGGGGGTCATCCATAAAAAACATCACGTCTGTCACTCAGAGGCGTAGCGACCCTTCCCGGTGCCCGGGGACAAGCTTTTCGATATGAACCACCCACCCCCCCCCCCCCCGGCAAGATTTCGATATGCACCCCCCTCAATATTTCGATGTGCACCACCCCCCCCCCCTCAAGATTTCGATTTGCACCCCCCCTCAAACTTTCGATTTGCACCCCCCTCAACCTTTCAATTTATTTTTCCAACCCATTTTGGCGCCCCCTAAGGTCGGCGCCCGGGGACATATGTACCCCCCGCCCCCACCCCCCTCGCTACGCTACTGCAGTGTCACTTATCGTCACAAAAAACAGACCCCACATTCAAACATATGTTTTTTATCTTTTAAAAACACCGAAAACAACGATTTCGGACTATCCCTTCATATACTGACGTCACAGGTGACTTACTCAACCCTACTTCACTTGCCCAGTGTCCCGCCAAGTCCCAGACAATATGTTTTTATCGTTTAAGAAAACGATTCCAGACGAGCATGTCTCTGACCACACTATCCCTTCATATGCTTAGGACAAACAAACAGGTGAACTCTACTTCACCTGCCCTGTGCCCCGCGAGGTCCTGATAGTCAACCTTATCATTCACATGTAGGCCTTAGGAAAAATAATTGAAAACATTGTTGTACAAAGAAAATAAAACTTTTTACTATTACATTTTACTATATAAGTCATTGTTTTAAACTTTTGTAATAATGTTGTTATTTTACTCATGGATATATCAATAAATTAATTAACGGCTTTAAATTAGTTTGTAATTAACAGTGTTTTTAAGAAGGAACAATATTTACCACCCAAAATACCATTTTACAGCTCTACACATAATGAAGATTCTCCCCAATAACAAATCAGAAAAACAAACAACAAAAAAATGAGTTATCAAACATCACTATTCAGCCAAAGTTAAGCCATTGTTCTAAAACTTTAAAACAAATATAGTTAATCTACCAATGAATAAATCAATAAATTAATTAACTTCTTTAAACAAATGTGTGATTAACAGTCTGTCTGCAATAAAAAATTATTCTCTACCTACATACTATTTTACAGCTCTAGAGAGAGTAGAACCATATACAATAGTAAATCAGACAAATAAATATTCATGTTAACAAACTTGAGTTTTAGTAGTAGATCTATATAGATATCAAATTTTTTTGTATCATTTTTTCAGGGATTTCCGATAAACAGAAGTGGAACTTATTCTATTTTCAATTTTTCAATAGCCTATAACTTGAGTATGTTTTACATAGATAAACGAAATTCTGTCAAATTTTGAGTAATTTTCTAGATGCTAAAAAGAAAGTGTCCGCTAAACAATTTAACTTTCCTTTTAATATACTAATTTTCCGCTTATCTATACACAAATTATTTACGTTCATTTATTGGGTAAGTCATTTTTCTATTCCTGGCGGGACTAGAAAAAAAATCCGCACGCACATTTTTAAGACCTAATTAAATATTAAATTAAACTAGAATACCCGTCATCCGTTGGATAACTGTGGGTTTCGGGGGTCATCCATCAAAAAACATCACGTCTGTCACTCAGAGGCATAGCGAGCCTTCCCGGCGCCCGGGGACAAACTTTTCGATTTTAACCCCCCCCCCCCCCCCCCAAGATTTCGATTTTCAACCCCCCTCGAACTTTTGATGTGCACCCCCCCCCACTCAAACTTTCGATTTGAACCCCCCTCAACCTTTCAATTTATTTTTCCAAACCATTTTGGCGCCCCAACATATGTCCCCCCCCCGCCCCCCTCCACCTCCCCCCCGCCTCCCCTCCCCTCCCCCCCCCCCCCCCCGCCTCCCCTCCCGCCCCCCCCCCCCCTCCTCGCTACGCTACTGAAGTGTCACTTATCGTCACAAAAAACAGACCCCACATTCAAAAATATGTTTCTTATCTTTTAAAAACACCGAAAACACCGATTTCGGCCTATCCCTTCATATACTGACGTCACATGTGACCTACTCAACTCTACTTCACCTGCCCAGTGTCCCGCCAAGTCTCAGACAACATGTTTTTATCGTTTAAATAACGATTCCAGCCGAGCATGTCTCTGACCACACTATCCTTTCATATGCTTAGGACAAAGAAACAGATGAACTCTACTTCACCTGCCCTGTATCTTGCCAAGTTCAGATAGGCAACTTTATCATTCACATCTAAAAAAAAAAATTGAAAAAAAATATCATTGACACATTGGTCTAGAACCTGTACCACCCGCATGAGAGCGGACTACGCTACCAACTTAGCTATTTACTCGTGACGTCACAAATGAATTTTTATACTATACTTTTGAGTTTCCGCGCATAGATCTAGATCTAAGTCTAGTAGTAGAATCTAGTAACTTTCAAATTACATTTTATCTTAAATTAGCCAAACAAAGATTTATATAAAATAATTAAGGCCTGAAATAGATTCTAGATCTAGATGTATTAAGGCCTGAAATAGATTCTAGATGTAGAATTTACATTAAGTCTAGATCTAGAATTTACATTGAGTCTAGTGACCTAGATCTAGGCTAGATCTAGGCTAGATTCATAACTTTCCTTCGACAGCTGATCTTTAGATCTAGAGAAATTTATTGTAAAACTAAATGAAAAAAGACAGTTTAAAATTGATATAAGTGTTGGAACGTAATAAATACAGCAAACGGACGTATTGTTAAAGTTATGACCGACAGAAAATTAGATTTAGAACGCGTTAAACTTTTGAATGGGAACACAATTTTCTTCAAAAGACGCCGCCATTTTATTGTACTAAAGAGTAAACAAAAACCTGTGACGTCACTATTCCCACAAAGTTTAGTCAAGGTTTTAACATTTTAAAAAAAAATGGGTTATTCTGCGTAGGAATAAATCAATAAATTAATTAACGTCTTTAAATAAATGTGTGATTAACAGTCTGTCTGCATTAAAAAATTATTCTCTACCTGCATACCATTTTACAGCTTTCCAGATAGAGTCGAACATATCACAATTTTCGATCAGGCAAACAAATAAATATTCAAACATGTAAACAAACTTGACTTTTAGTAGTATACTAGAATACCCGTCATCCGTTGGATAACTGTGGGTTTCGGGGGTCATCCATCAAAAAACATCACGTCTGTCACTCAGAGGCATAGCGACCCTTCCCGGAGCCCGGGGACAAAGTTTTCGATTTGAACCCCCCCCCTCAAACTTTTGATGTGCACCCCCCCCCCACTCAAACTTTCGATTTGAACCCCCCTCAACCTATCAATTTATTTTTCCAAAACATTTTGGCGCCCCAACATATGTCCCCCCCCCTTCCCCCCTCCACCTCCCCACCCCCCCCTTCCCCCCCCGCCTCCCCTCCCCACCCCCCGCCTCCCCTCCCCACCCCCCGCCTCCCCTCCCCACCCCCCGCCTCCCCTCCCCTACCGCCCCCCCCCCCCTCCTCGGTACGCTACTGCAGTGTCACTTATCGTCACAAAAAACAGACCCCACATTCAAATATATGTTTTTTATCTTTTAAAAACACCGAAAACACCGATTTCGGACTATCCCTTCATAAACTGACGTCACAGGTGACCTACTCAACTCTACTTCACCTGCCCAGTGTCCTGCCAAGTCTCAGACAACATGTTTTTATCGTTTAAAAAACAATTCCAGCCGAGCATGTATCTGACCACACTATCCTTTCATATGCTTAGGACAAAGAAACAGATGAACTCTACTTCACCTGCCCTGTATCTTGCCAAGTTCAGATAGGCAACGTTATCATTCACATCTAAAAAAAAAAAAATTGAAAAAAAAAATTTCATTGACATATTGGTCTAGAACCCGTGCCTCCTGCATGAGAGCTGACTACGCTACCATTTTAGCTATTTACTCGTGACGTCACAAGTGAATTTTTATACTATACTATGTATCTCCTTATGCAACTTGATTTACGGCGTATAGATTCTAGATCTAGATCTAAAAATAAGTCTAGTAGTACTAACTTTCAAATTAAATTTTATCTTAAATAAGCCAAACAAAGATTTATATAAAATAATTAAGGCCTGAAATAGATTCTAGATGTAGAATTTACATTAAGTCTAGATCTAGAATTTACATAGAAACCTAGTGACCTACATCTAGGCTAGATCTAGATCTAGGCTAGATTCATAAATTTCCTTCGATAGCTGATCTTTAGATCTAGAGAAATTTATTGTAAAACTAAATGAAAAAGACAGTTGAACATTGATATAAGTGTTGGAACGTAATAAATACAGCAAACGGACGTATTGTTAAAGTTATGACCGACAGAAAATTAGATTTAGAACGCGTTAAACTTTTGAATGGGAACACAATTTTCTTCAATAGACGCCGCCATTTTATTGTACTAAAGAGTAAACAAAAACCTGTGACGTCACGGTCCCGCCGAGTCTAGTGGCTTTTCAAATATTTTAAAAAAAAATGGGTTATTCTGCGTAGGAATAAATCAATAAATTAATTAACGTCTTTAAATAAATTTGTGATCAACAGTCTGTCTGCATTAAAAAATTATTCTCTACCTGCATACCATTTTACAGCTTTCCAGATAGAGTCGAACATATCACAATTTTCGATCAGGCAAACAAATAAATATTCAAACATGTAAACAAAGTTGACTTTTAGTAGTATATAGACTAGAATACCCGTCATCCGTTGGATAACTGTGGGTTTCGGGGGTCATCCATCAAAAAACATCACGTCTGTCACTCAGAGGCATAGCGACCCTTCCCGGCGCCCGGGGACAAAGTTTTCGATTTGAACCCCCCCCCCCCCCTCAAACTTTTGATGTGCACCCCCCCCCCACTCAAACTTTCGATTTGAACCCCCCTCAACCTATCAATTTATTTTTCCAAACCATTTTGGCGCCCCAACATATGCCCCCCCCCCCCTTCCCCCTCCCCACCCCCCGCCTCCCCTTCCCCCCCCACCCCCCGCCTCCCCTCCCCACCCCCCGCCTCCCCTCCCCTACCGCCCCCCCCCCCTCCTCGGTACGCTACTGCAGTGTCACTTATCGTCACAAAAAACAGACCCCACATTCAAATATATGTTTTTTTATCTTTTAAAAACACCGAAAACACCGATTTCGGACTATCCCTTCATAAACTGACGTCACAGGTGACCTACTCAACTCTACTTCACCTGCCCAGTGTCCTGCCAAGTCTCAGACAACATGTTTTTATCGTTTAAAAAACAATTCCAGCCGAGCATGTATCTGACCACACTATCCTTTCATATGCTTAGGACAAAGAAACAGATGAACTCTACTTCACCTGCCCTGTATCTTGCCAAGTTCAGATAGGCAACGTTATCATTCACATCTAAAAAAAAAATTGAAAAAAAAAATTTCATGGACATATTGGTCTAGAACCCGTGCCTCCTGCATGAGAGCTGACTACGCTACCATTTTAGCTATTTACTCGTGACGTCACAAGTGAATTTTTTATACTATACTATGTGTCTCCTTATGCAACTTGATTTACGCGTATAGATTCTAGATCTAGATCTAAAAATAAGTCTAGTAGTACTAACTTTCAAATTAAATTTTATCTTAAATAAGCCAAACAAAGATTTATATAAAATAATTAAGGCCTGAAATAGATTCTAGATGTAGAATTTACATTGAATCTAGTGACCTACATCTAGGCTAGATCTAGATCTAGATCTAGGCTAGATTCATAAATTTCCTTCGATAGCTGATCTTTAGATCTAGAGAAATTTATCGTAAAACTAAATGAAAAAGACAGTTGAAAATTGATATAAGTGTTGGAACGTAATAAATACAGCAAACGGACGTATTGTTAAAGTTATGACCGACAGAAAATTAGATTTAGAATGCGTTAAACTTTTGAATGGGAACACAATTTTCTTCAATAGACGCCGCCATTTTATTGTACTAAAGAGTAAACAAAAACCTGTGACGTCACGGTCCCGCCGAGTCTAGTGGCTTTTCAAATATTTAAAAAAAAAATGGGTTATTCTGCATAGGAATAAATCAATAAATTAATTAACGTCTTTAAATAAATTTGTGATCAACAGTCTGTCTGCATTAAAAAATTATTCTCTACCTGCATACCATTTTACAGCTTTCCAGATAGAGTCGAACATATCACAATTTTCGATCAGGCAAACAAATAAATATTCAAACATGTAAACAAAGTTGACTTTTAGTAGTATATAGATAGATTATTTCTTGATTTAGTAATCCTCATCTATTTTATTTACTAAGTTTCTCTACTATAATTTAAGTTGTAAAAAAATTGTAATTAGTATTTCTGATTTAATATTTTAGTTCGTTGAAACTTATTTCATGCCTGCCGAAATTAAGAAATGTAAAATTGTAAATTTAGGAAAGAATTGTATGGTTTCCTGTATAAGTTTTATCACAACTTTTTTTTGTATTTACATTATTAGTTTTTAAGTGATTTTTTTCTCTTACATAATCTATGTTTTGTATGAGTCCATAAAATAATAATGTTTTAATTCGCTTGGTAAAAAATTAATGATAAAATAATAACTATTGTAACGATGGAACACCTGTTCGGCTATGAAATGAGTTTCATGGGCCCAACTATCAGATGAATTATGTTAGTGACTGTAGAATAATCACCAATTTAATTGGTTCTTTTTTACAGCAACACAGTCAATGTTTACGAAAACATGTTTGGAATTTAAAAAGTTGATTGTTTATGGTGGGAGAAATGACAGCCTAACGGCCTGCCCCCCCCCCCCACCCCCACATTGCGAGGTGTGGCGGTATATAGTTCTCTCCTGTTTCTACTGTGTTCTATTTTTATAAAGATTTAATTACTAAAAAAAAATTGTTAAAAACATTTCTATGGCCAGATTGCAATAAAAGTTCCATCTACTCTACTACCTACTGTTATATAAGAACTAGTCTTCGGTTCCCGTTACAAACGAATTATAGGCTTATATTTTTACATGTTATAGGCCTACTTTTTTGAGAAATATATTTTGCACACACACACACGCACACACACATACACATATATATATATATATATATATATATATATATATATATATATATATATATATATAGAGAGAGAGAGAGAGAGAGAGAGAGAGAGAGAGAGAGAGAGAGAGAGAGAGATGGGGGCGCCGAATTGGGGGGGGGGGGGAGCGAGAGGGGTCGATACGCCTCTACACACTCGTTGAAGAAGAAGGTTAAAAGAGCAGTGAGATTTGTGTGGAGTGTGAACGTCCACAATGGCTGGAGTTCAAATAATCCAGCAACAGCTCGAATCAGCCATTCTCTTATGTTCATCGGACGGCTTTCAATAAGTTTTACAATAATATGTTTTAATTTAAAAGAATTGATACATTCCCATATTTCCGCTATTATTTGTAGTGTCATAAATGGGTTGAGGTTTAAAGAAAATGTTTTTAAAACTAAATTTGTCCTTCACCTGACCAGGTCATTTCTCCGTCACCTGACCAGGTCATTTGTCCCTCATCTGACCATGTCATTTGTCCCTCACCTGATCATGTCATTTCTCTCTCACCTGACATATCATTCGTCCATCGTCTGCCAATGTCACGGCGGGCAATGGTATTTGCAACCAAAGCTACTTTTTAAAATAGTTTTGAGTTTTCTGAGCAAAATTCCTTAGCCTGCTACAACCAGTGCCGGCGCCAGGTTATTTAGCGCCCTAGGCAAAACATATTAAAAGCGCTCCACCCCCCACCCCCGCTATTTTTTTCGTGCCCCCATATTATCAGAGGCGTAGCGACCCTTCCCGGCGCCCGGGGACAAATTTTCGATTTGCACATCCTCCCCTTAAACTTTTGATTTGCACCCCCTCAAACTTTCAATTTGTTTTTCCATCCCATTTTGGCGCCCCCCCCCCCCCTACGGACAGCGCCCTAGGTGACCGCCTAGTTCGCCTTTTAGGTAACACCGGCCCTGGCTACAACAAACGTTTAGCAAAAATGTTTTGCAATGTAGTGATCTGTTGGAAAAACATAACACACTACTGCGCGCCTCGATTATAACTTGGTAAAACATAATGGCCACGTAGGCGGGCGGCTAATCTTGGCAGGATACACGTAAATTTCCTTTTTTTTAATCCGTCGAAGGCCATAGTTAGGAGACCCTGGTCTAGACTAAACTATGTTGTATCATTGTATGACCATATAGTAATGGTATTCATACTTTTTTTTTCTAGCTATCCCGTCATCTGAGACTTTTAGGAAAAGAGAATGGGTGTCTTGAAGGAGTTGCCATTAGATTGTGATATAACTGATGAAGTGAGCTGGTCTTACAATTTCACTAAACTGTTTCAGATTCTGAATCTCTGCTTCTTAAAGAAGTGGTCTAAGCTCCCAGTCTGCCAAAGTTTCTGATAAACATTTGACCTGTGATGCAACATGTTGCTGAAGATAACTCTGCAGCTGATACATTGTCGACCGTTATACCTCATCCCAAAATAGAACAAGTTTTGTTCCCATGAATTTATGCATTAACCAAACAGAATTATTTCAAGAGAGTACAGCTTACATAGTTCTAATCATTTTTTTTGGTGAGGGCTGTATGTTACTTTGGATACCATTGTTTGCCACAAATAAATCTCTATTTGCATGGACATGGCAGATCACGGCTAGCAATTGTTCTAAATTTTCAGTTCGTAACACAATATATCTAGTACTTTTTTAGCTGGAAAGTACACAAAATCGGGGATGTGACGCCAACCACGTCATAAGATATTTCTTACGACAATCATAAGTTTATCTCTAAGCTAGCTCAGACAGCCGAGTGACAAACTCTATATATAAGCCTGTAACTAAAACTTAGTAATCAAGCACCCCAATAAACCCCGTAAAGTTGTTGACGGCTCACCAAATTCACCCACAACAAAACAGCGAGATATTCAACTATTATCAATAAAATGTTGGAAACATTTAGAACGAAGTACAATATAAACCTTTAATAATTAGTCTCAAGGTAAGGTTAACTTATTTTCGCTTTTAATTAATTATTTTTTGGTAGAATAAATGGATGGAAATGTAACATCATCATCATGCAGGTAAAGACGAGTGATCTCATCATTAAGCAGGCTGTATTAGAGCGATCATTCACGAAAGTCTTTAAAATGTACCTACGAATTTTTATTAATAGTGTCAGCTTTCCACTGAGCGTTACTTGGCACAGAAACATAAAATTTCATTGCCTTTTCGTCCATTTTTATTGAATGGGCGACAGTACCAACCAGGTAGTAACGTCCATTCTTTAAGCAGCTCACGGGTCCGCCAGAGTCTCCAATGTAAGATGCCGCGTATTTTCCATTGGCTGACTCCACGTTATCCACGCAGAAATAACGGCCTACACGATAACTGAGGTCTTTATAGGAGTGACCAGCCTGGCACATGTCTTGATTGATTATTCTGATGCGCAACTGCTGAAGAATGTCCGGAGTGGCACTGCCACTAAATGACGTGTCACCCCAACCTGTGACAAAACAAGGCGAGGCGTCCCAAACGTTGCCCTCCGGAAAACAAATTGGCTGCACGGAATCTGAAAACGTTAAGGGTGAAGAAAGTTTGTAAAGCGCCATATCATTACCATTACCACGTGCGCGAAAACGTGTTTTGGTCTTTGTTCTATTTGCCCTTTGAAGACTGTTGCTTCCATAGTAGACATCATTGACTTCATCTTCACCACAGTGTCTAGCTGTAATTATCCATTCACGATGTATGATAGATCCTCCACAGGTTCCTAAACTCGAGCTAAACCAAATTTGCCAGGGCCAGGCATTCACTGGAGCATCTTTGCCGTTGACGATCTGCTTCGATTGGTCGTTTTTAGACATTCCACAATCGCCTTGTTTGAATAATGGCGGCGATGGTAAGTTCTTGTTTAGAGGTATTTTTGGGTATCTAGTGTCATATTCTTGTTCGTATTTCTCTAACGGCAATTGATTAATTGCACAATATTCCGCTTTGCTGGACTCAACACAAAGTAATACAAGTATCTGTTGGGGATAAAATAAAACATGTATACATGGACACATTTGATGACATTAAACATTCAGATAAGTAAAGCCTTGAAGATGAGAGAAAAGATTTCAGATAAATTTTTTCTCGGCGCTAAAATGACTATATTTGTTCGAAGTCACTGAATCGACCAAATAGTTTAATGTAAACTAAACGTTTGTATTAAACTGACTTCTGAACCGCTTTTTAAAAACAAAATTCTATTCACTGACTCTTGTCTATAGGGCCTACAACGGCACTAAACACTATATAACGTCACTAAAACACCAAATTAATGCTAAATCACGTCATTATAATTCCGACGAAATGCGAAATAAATGTATTACAATACCACCTACATAGATAACCTCCATAGATAACCTGACTATAGATTTTCTCTTCTAGGTTAGATCTGTCTTTAGCTCTCCAGCTTTATCTGCTTTCATGATTGAACTCAGGACTTACCGAGTTAACAATCATAAGCTTTACCGACCCGACCACGTCGACACCTTACTTATTAATATTTCAATATAACTTTAAAGCTTATCTTATATTTATTCATCAACATTTGATATAAGACATACTAACAGTGAACATTTTTATTTTTTAAAATTTCAAACGGTTGATTCCTTATAACTTATTCATCTTACACGGTAAATCTTTATCCTAAATGAAATTACAATGAAAACAAAATTTACCAAAAAAAGTTCTCTCATTTCTTTCAATAATAATAGGCTGGCTTTACTCTGCGCATCTGATCATCTGATTTACTGCCATATCCTGTCTAACAATTAAAACATGTAAAGAAATGTACAAAACATATTCTTCAATTTTTTCGACTTTTCAGATTTACGGTCGTGTCTAGATAATATACTGAAATACAAAATATCGGTTAAAATAGGTTAAGTTTGGTACTGCAAGTTTAGGGTTGGAATGTGATATGTAATGTGTTAAAGTCAGCATACTTGGCAAGGCCAGGCCAGGCCAGGCCAGGCCAGGCAAGGTCAGGTCAGGTCAGGCCAGGTCAGGTCAGGTCAGGTCAGGTCAGGTCAGGTCAGGTCAGGTCAGGTCAGGTCAGGTCAGGTCAGGTCAGGTCGGGTCAGGTCAGGTTAGGTTAGGTTAGGTTAGGTTAGGTAAGGTAAGGTAAGGTAAGGTAAGGTAAGGTAAGGTAAGGTAAGGTAAGGTAAGGTAAGGTAAGGTAAGGTAAGGTAAGGTAAGGTAAGGTAAGGTAAGGTAAGGTAAGGTAAGGTAAGGTAAGGTAAGGTAAGGTAAGGTAAGGTAAGTTAAGGTAAGTTAAGGTAAGTTAAGGTAAGTTAAGGTAAGTTAAGGTAAGGTAAGGTAAGGTAAGGTAAGGTAAGGTAAGGTAAGGTAAGGTAAGGTAAGGTAAGGTAAGGTAAGGTAAGGTAAGGTAAGGTAAGGTAAGGTAAGGTAAGGTAAGGTAAGGTAAGACACGTTTTTCATCGCTTATAGTAGAGTGATCGCTTGCATTATTGTGATGTATAGCATTTATTTTCTACTTTTTAGTTCAATCAGAAAACGTGGGTTTTTTAAACTTTTTTAATGATAATTATTTAGCTTACAATGTGTACAATAAAATTTATGGCAGCCTATCGAATAGGATGTCATTGTTTATGTCGCCATTACACGTGAAAACCAATTTGTTTTTGCTTATTTTAAAATTTTTATTTAGTTACCGAAAATATTAAAAACACCAAATACACCCAATCTTTAGTAAAGTCCGAAAAAAACCAAAAAGACAGGATTTTATAACCATATTAATTGTAACTACGCCGTGCATGATTTTTAAATTAATTAAAGGGCCTCTCAAATACCTTTGAGGCTTTGAGACATTTCTCGCTAGCGTCTATTCTAAAATTACATTAAAACTGTTGTTTTTTCTGCTGCCGATTGATATTTTCAAAGCAAAAGAAGCTATTCCCTGTGATAAAATAAACTGACCTTCTTACCGTATATACTGTATCCCCAATTAAATTAACTCCTAACATGTTACAATGAATTTTCAAATTTTCTATTTTTAAGGTCCAAATAAAAACCAAAATAAGTTAATGAATCACAACCGAACGTCAACAATATTTCCTTTCAAATTTTAAGTACCAAATGGTGCACATTCGCTTAAAAATACTCATCTATAATACGCGCATCTCTTAATTTTGTTTTAAATAGAAGAAAATAATTGCGCACCAAGTTAATGTGTTACCGTAACAGCTAGGTTGATGAAATTTTATATATAAGTATAATATCGAATTTTTATTTCTGTATCAACTTTTTAGTGATTTCCGATAAACGGAAGTGGAACTTATTCTATTTTCAATTTTTCAAAAGCCTATAACTTGAGTATGTTTCACATAGATAAACGAAATTTCACATATAAGTAAAATATCAAATTCTGTCAAATCTTGAGTAATTTTCTAGATTCTAAAAAGAAAATTTAACTTTCCTACTAATGTACTAATTTTCCACTAAACTATGCACAAAATATTTACGTTCATTTATTGGGCAAGTTATTTTTCTATTCAGTGGCGGAACTAGAAAAAAAGCGTTGCACGCAAATTTTTGAGACCTAATTGAATATTAAATAAAATTATTTCTTGATTTAGTAATCATTATTTATTTCATTTGCTAAGTTTCTCTATTATAATTTGACAGTACTCAAATCAATAGGCTTCTAATAACTCAGTTGTAAAAAAAAAATATTGTAATTAGTATTTCTGATTTAATATTTTATTTCGTTGAAACTTATTTCATGGCTCCCGAAATTAAGAAATCGATGTTTTGTGCGAGTGCATAAAATATTAATTTAAAGAATAATGTTTGCTTGTTAAAAAAATTAATGATAAAATAATAACTATTGTAACGATGGAACACCTGTTCGGCTATTAAATGAGTTTCATGGGCCCAACTATTAGATGAATTATGTTAGTTATTATAGAATAATCACCACTTTAATTGGTTCTTTTTTTACAACAACACAGTCAATGTTTACGAAAACATGTTTGGAATTTAAAAAGTTGATTGTTTATGGTGGGAGAAAGGACAACTAAACGGTCTGCTCCCCTCCCCCCCACACTGCGATGTGTGGCGGTATTTATCTCTCTCCTGTTTCTAGTGTGTTCTTTTTATTACAAGCTTTTATTTAACTCACTTCCTCGTCAGTCTGTCGTCAGTCGTCAGTCTAGACGGAAACGCAGGAGTGAAAATTCGGACAGTTCTACTTGACCGATACGATTCAAAGTTAGCACGTGGGTCAAGACATGAAGACAATGCAATCTGAAACTAAATTTGACTTAATTGGATGCCTAATTAATTTTTTGTGAATTAATTAAAATTTGGACCGAATTAGTAGGCATGTCTAGCCAACCACACCACACGCGTCATCACCTTCAATAGCTGCGCCATCACGTAATGGCTGCGTTCAAAAACCATTGCGCGCCTACTGAACGTGATGTTCAGTAGGCGCGCAATGGTTTTTAGTCATGCAACTCTATTGTAAATAAAACATGTAAAGTACTGAAAAAAAATTCATAAAAAATGTTTTAATAACAAGCTTTTATGTAATGATGCACTAAAAAGTAGAAAATAAATTATAGACTACTATTTAAATAACTATAAAGAAAAGCGTGGGTCACTTTAGTATCTATTGGATACCTTTACTAATGTTAAGGAAGACACCCACGCTTTTCTTTATATATATACTACTAAAAGTCAAGTTTGTTTACATGTTTGAATATTTATTTGTTTTTTTGTTTGTTTGTTTGTTTGCCTGATTGACTATTGCTCATGGTTGCACTCATCGTGGAAAGCTGTAAAATAGTATGTAGGTAGAGAAAATTTTTTGTTTTAAGACAGACTGTTAATCACACATTTATTTAAAGACGTTAATTAATTTATTGATTTATTCATACGCAGAGTAACCCATTTTTTTAAAAAAGTTTAGAACGACCACTACACTCGGCGGGACCGTGACGTCACAGTTTTTTGTTTACTCTTTAGTACAATAAAATGGCGGCGTCTATCGAAGAAAATTGTGTTCCCATTCAAAAGTTTAACGCGTTCTAAATCTAATTTTCTGTCGGTCATAACTTTAACAATACGTCCGTTTGCTGTATTTATTACGTTCCAACACTTATATCAATTTTAAACTGTCTTTTTTCATTTAGTTTTACAATAAATTTCTCTAGATCTAAAGATCAGCTGTCGAAGGAAAGTTATGAATCTAGCCTAGATCTAGCCTAGATCTAGGTCACTAGACTCAATGTAAATTCTAGATCTAGACTTAATGTAAATTCTACATCTAGAATCTATTTCAGGCCTTAATACATCTAGATCTAGAATCTATTTCAGGCCTTAATTATTTTATATAAATCTTTGTTTGGCTAATTTAAGATAAAATGTAATTTGAAAGTTACTAGATTCTACTACTAGACTTAGATCTAGATCTATGCGCGGAAACTCAAAAGTATAGTATAAAAATTCATTTGTGACGTCACGAGTAAATAGCTAAGTTGGTAGCGTAGTCCGCTCTCATGCGGGTGGTACAGGTTCTAGACCAATGTGTCAATGATATTTTTTTTCAATTTTTTTTTTTAGATGTGAATGATAAAGTTGCCTATCTGAACTTGGCAGGATACAGGGCAGGTGAAGTAGAGCTCATCTGTTTCTTTGTCCTAAGCATATGAAAGGATAGTGTGGTCAAAGACATGCTCGGCTGGAATCGTTTTTTAAACGATAAAAACATGTTGTCTGAGACTTGGCGGGACACTGGGCAGGTGAAGTAGAGTTGAGTACGTCACATGTGACGTCAGTATATGAAGGGATAGTCCGAAATCGGTATTTTCGGTGTTTTTAAAAGATAAGAAACATATTTTTGAATGTGGGGTCTGTTTTTGTGACGATAAGTGACACTGCAGTAGCGTAGCGAGGAGGGGGGGGGGCGGGAGGGGAGGCGGAGGGGAGGCGGGGGGAGGTGGAGGGGGGGGGCGGGGGGACATATGTTGGGGCGCCAAAATGGTTTGGAAAAATAAATTGAAAGGTTGAGAGGGGTTCAAATCGAAAGTTTGAGTGGGGGGGGGGGGGTGCACATCAAAAGTTTGAGGGGGGGGGGGTTGAAAATCGAAATCTTGGGGGGGGGGGGTTAAAATCGAAAAGTTTGTCCCCGGGCGCCGGGAAGGCTCGCTATGCCTCTGAGTGACAGACGTGATGTTTTTTGATGGATGACCCCCGAAACCCACAGTTATCCAACGGATGACGGGTATTCTAGTAGTTATTTAAATAGTAGTCTATAATTTATTTTCTACTTTTTAGTGCATCATTACATAAAAGCTTGTTATTAAAACGTTTTTTATGATTTTTTTTTTTTTATAAAGATGTAATTACTAAAAAAATTGTTCAAAACATATCTATAGCCAGATTGCACTAAACGTGCCATCTACTCTACTGCCCACTGTTATATAAGAACTAGTCTGCGGTTCCCGTTACACATAAATTATAGGCTTACACTTTTACATGTTATAGTCCTACTTGTTTGAAAAATATATTTTGTAAAATAGTTATTAGTCACACACACAAACATGTATATATATATATATATATATATATATATATATATATATATATATATATATATATATATATATATATATAATATATATATATATATATATATATATATATATATATATATATATATATATATATATATATATATATATATATATTGTAAAATAGTTATTAGTCACACTCACACAAACATATATATATATATATATATATATATATATATATATATATATATATATATATATATATATATATATATATATATATATATATAAATTTATATATATATATATATATATATTTATTTATTTATTTATATATATATAAATATATATATATATATATATATATATATATATATATATATATATATATATATATATATATATATATATATATATATATATATATATATATATATATATATATATATATAAATTTATATATATATTTATTTATATATATATGTATTTATTTATTTATTTATTTATTTATATATATATAAATATATATGTATAAATGGGGTGGGGGGCGCTAAATTGAAAGTTTACCCGGGGTGGGGGGGCGAGAGGAGTCGCTACGCCTCTGCACACTAGATGAAGAAGAAGGTTAAAAGAGCGGTGAGATTTGTTTGGAGTGTGTACGTCCACAATGGCTGGAGTTCAAATAATCCATCAACAGCTCGACTCAACCATTTTCTTAAGTTCATAGGACAGCTTTCAATAAGTTTAAAATAATATTTTTTTTTTTTTTATTTAGAAGAATTTTATACATTTCCATATATCCACTCTCGTTAGTATTGTCATAAATGGGTTGAGTTAAAAGGAAAATGTCTTTAAAACAAAATTTGTTCTTCACCTAACCAGGTCATTTGTCTCACACTTGACCATGTCATTTGTTCCTCACCTGACCAGGTCCTTTGTTTCTCACCTGACATATCATTCGTCCTACATCTGATTAAGACATTTGTCCCTCACCTTACCATGTCATTTGTCTCTCACCTGACATGTCATCTGTCCCTCACCTGATCATGTCATTTCTCTCTCACCTGACATATCTTTCGTCCCTCGTCTGCCAATGTCACGGCGGGCAATGGTATTTGCAACCAAAGCTACTTTTTAAAATTGTTTTGAGTTTTCTGAGCAAAATTCCTTAGCCTGTTACAACCAGTGCCGGTGCCAGGTTATTTAGCGCCCTAGACAAAACTTACTTAAAGCGCTCCAACCCCCACCCCCGCAATTTTTTTCGTGCCACCATATTATCAGAGGCGTAGCGACCCTTCCCGGCACCCGGGGACAAATTTTCGATTTGCACACCCTCCGCTTAAACTTTTGATTTGCACCCCCTCAAACTTTCAATTTGTTTTTCCTACCCATTTTGGCGCCCCCCCCCTACGGACAGCGCCCTAGGCGACCGCCTAGTTCGCCTTATAGGTAACACCGGTCCTGGCTACAACAAACGTTTATCAAAAATGTTTTGCAATGTAGTGATCTGTTGGAAAACATA